ATAATATATATATATATATATATGTCGTGCCGAATATGTAAAACTGGTCAATTAGCAAGAACTCATTTAAAATTAAGTCCTTTCTGAAATTTTCTCTTATATGTTTAAAGATATATTTTTTTCATTAATGTTCATGTAAAAATTTTTAATTTTGCAACGAAAGAATCTTAGAAAACTTACCTAACCTTATTATAACAAGAACAATTTATTTTAGCCTAACCCAACTAAATATATTTTAAATACGTTTACAGTAATTTAGTAATAAACAAACGCAATCAAATATATTTTCCTCGTTAGGTTCAGAATGATTTCGGCGAAATTTTTGCATACACAAATTTTCACTTGTCCTATATGGCAAGATGAGCGTTGCTATTTAAGCCAAGATCGCAAGTTCTGCCTATTCGGCACGACATATATAATATATATATATATATATATATATATATATATATATATATATATATATATATATATATATATATATATATATATATATATATAAAATATATATATATATATATATATTATATATATATAAATATATATATATATATATATATATATATATATATATATATATATATATATATATATAATGCAAAACAACCGGGGAGGGAGTAGAATGATAGATCTAGGTCTTTCGTGTTGCAATCAACTCATCATCAGGAGCTTGCAAAATTGCAGAAAAGAGGAGGATGTCCAAGGAAGTACGTTCCCTAAGGACGTCTTCAGTGAAGACGACCTTTGTAATGGAGTAGTAGTATAGTAGTAGTAGTAGTAGTAGTAGTAGTAGTAGAAATAGAAGTGAAGTAAGTCTAGGGACAAGAAAAAGAGCCCTACAGGAGAGCTAATGGCTCTCACAGTGTAGGACCAAAAACAGAGGAAAAAAACTGAAGGACTGAACACAAAAAGAAAAATTGGAAAGGGGAAGAGGTAGGGAGAAGAGAAAAAAAAATCAGATCGGATCACGAGTGTTTGGCAATATACAGAGACAAAGGCATCTACAGGGACAAATCCAGGACTAAGATTCATATTAGGAAAATTGTGTATAAGCAATGCGATTGTGTATAAGCAATTGTGTATAAGCAAGACGGCGACTGTTCTAAATGAACTTTCTTATGTTCCAAACTCTCTGCCCCTTTGAAATCCCCTGCTTTCTGCCTTCCCTGTATTTCCAGTCTTTCTAATATCAACAACTCTCCATTCCTTAGACATCAAACTTACTTTTCGCCAAATTAACACCCTTTGCAGTAATCTAGATCGTACCTCTCCTGCTATTGATGCTTCCAGAGTCCACTATTTTCTGTTCCTCTTGTCCCCTTCAATAATTTGGAGAAACCTGGCTACTCTCTTTCTGACAGCGTTAAAGAGCACAACAAAAATACTGGACTTGAAGACACCAGTAATGCTCTTTTCTGTCATGTCAGAGAACAGTCATCTTATTGACTGATCCTCCGCCTTCACAGACACAGTCTTGCTGAAGTACCTGTTATTCACATCTTTCCTAATATGATTACTGGTCCTGGCTTTGTCTCTGTAGATGCCTTCTTTTCTCATTACAGTCAAATGTTCCAGACCTCAGAATACTCGTGACTTGACCTGATCTTTTCTTCACCTCCTCTCTCTACCTCTCATCCTTTCCTACTTTTGCTTTATCTTCCTTTCCTCTTCCTATGTGTATTCTGTCCTTCAGTTTCTCTCCACCCCTCTGTGTTTGGTCCCACTCCTTGTGGGTCATTAGCTCTCCTGCAATGCTCATTTTTCGTCTTTGGACTTATTCCACTTCTGCTTATATGACTACTGCTACTATTACCATCCCATTACTACTACTGCTTCTACCACCATTTCTACCGCTACTACAACTACTATTGCCTGGCTGCACTCCTGTCTATTTTGCCACTAAAACTACTCTCCCTACTTTCTACTACCACTACTACTTCTACTACCAGCATTACCTCTACCATTACTTCTCCACTTCCTTCTTTCTTCCTCTCTTTGTCCCATCCCCGTCTCCTCGCCTATACTCCTCCTCTCTCACCCTCGTACGTCAGTGTGACTTGATCTAAACGTTGTCCGTCAAAAGCTTCTCTCTTCTATGTGCTGATTATGTATTGTTTAGGTCGCAGTATTGTGCCCTTTTTGTTCGTGAAGGTGTTAAACCACTGAGTCTAGGAAGGAGCTCATCGGTAACGTGATCTGTAGGTCACTAACCTGAACCATTAAGATTTACTTGAGAGGATATCTTTAAGGAGTATAGTCTCAGACTTCCATAAGTTGCTGAGTAAGGGGCTAAGGGGATTTCCCTTGGCAATGCCATGGGAAACCCCTTCATCATTTCGTTATTTCCCTTCAATAACAATGTATTATCACTATGTATATGGTTAATATTATATGAATATTCCCCTCATCAAAAATGACAAAACAGTTAGATTTATCGGCTTTCGTGATCGTTACTGATATCTTTGAATGGTTTGATAAATCGTAGAGAGCAGTTGAGAAGCACAGGGAGAATAAGGTACCATAGACCCCTCCTTACACAAATATTTAATACTTCAGGTGTCAAATCATGTTTCTTTTTTCAAAATACAAAAAAAAAAAAAAAAAAAAAATAGCTAGGTCTACGTAACTAACATCCCAAGTTGTGGCCGAGAAACTTAATCTAAACTTTAGAGCTGCTAGCTGATCCCTACTTAATTCTTTGGTATGCTGAAATTAGTATAAAATAACAACAAGCTGACGAAATATTTCGCCTACGCGGCAGGCTTCATCAGGCATATACAGAGGGGACTATATGGTAGGCAGCAGTAGTGACGAGGTAATGATGATCGACTTAGTCATTCTGCCATGGAGAAAAAGTTTAAGATGATCAGTCCCTCAGCCTAAATACAAGCTCAGCTCCATGGTCTGGAAACACACGAAGCTGTAGCATGAGAAGGGAGTCTTAAATACTGTCGAAAGTGAGGTGGAAGATCTCGAATATGTTGATGAGATTCACCAGCAAAACCAAGAAGGCAAGAACTGAGGGTCACTGCAGCAAGGTCACTGGCCCATGCTAGGGCCAGTGACCTAGTAATGCGATGAAGTTGTGGAAGATGTCCTTTGCACCAAGATTTTTTGAAAAAGAAAATTTGATAATGGCAAAAAACGGTAAATTAACACCCACAAGGCTTAAAATTAATAAAAAAAATCCTTCTTATTATGGTATAGAATCATTTAAGGGTTGAAGGTGATCGGTAGAGGCATGCACTAGTTATTAATGGTAAAAAGTTTGCTAAAAAAAAATTAGCAAATTAAAATTTACATAGCTGAAAGTGAGTGATAAACTGTTTTTTTTAATAAAGTACATCCATGTTAAAACTTTGAAGCAGATCAAAAAAAAAAAAAGCATCTCGAGTAAGTGATATGATTCGAACTATTTCAGGTTCTTTAACAAAATTCCAAATATGTGCTTATTCGGATTAAAGTAATGGGGGGGGGGGGACGGTATCATCAACATTGTAGATTACATCGTCGATAATATTTTGAAGCCAGTCAGAAGAAGAATTCGTTAGGTTTTGAATAAAAATGAATGTCACTATTTAATATTATATAAATATTATAATTATGGGGGAGCGCTAAACCCATAGGATTATACAGCTCATTGGGGGGGGGGATGGAAGGTATTCAGGATATAATTCCCTAGATCAAGAGCCCCTCATCAGCGTCAAGGAACCTCCCTTGAGGGGTATTTATTTAATAAAACTGGCTAATTGGGTCTTGTACCACACAATGGTACCGTGGCGACAATGGAAAGCCAATTGTGTAAGTTATTTTAGAATTTTGGAATTGATTTTAACGATTCCGATATTTTTTATATGCTATTTTACATCAACAAATTTGCTTACACGCAAATGAATTTAGAAGTCGATCAGAAGAGGTAAATTAATTATTATAATACAGTAAAGAAGAGCTAAACCACAAGGGTCATACAGCGCAGAAAAGAAGAGGTAAATTGATATTTGTTTCACGTGATTTAACAGACGTTTTCGAGTTATGAGCAAAATGAAATGAAAATTAGAAAAAAAAAGTCATGAGACCTCTTAAAGGTACCTCACGAAGGATACCTAAAATTTCTCAAGCTGAAGTTAAGGAATACCAACATTAACCCATTTTCTGAAGTTAATCTAGTACACCAAACTGGTAGTAGAGTGAATTTAGTTCTGAGGCGCCCACACCATTGTAGGATTCGATGGTACAGTAGGTTATAGCGTCGTGAATTTTCGATCACCATGAGGCGGGCAAAAACAACACGGGTTCGTTTTCCCGGCTACTTGCAGTGTTATCGATTATATTGTATTATATTATATTATATATATAGTATATATATATGTGTGTACAAACACTGATCTGTGGCCGAAGGAGACTCGAACCTACGAACCTTGGAACAAGGTACGCAGTGCTTTACCATCCTCACCACACTGGACCAATACCTTGACGCCCAGGTCACGCTAGACGTTTTTGATCCAAGGCAGCCAGCTTTCAGGGAGGAGCCTTACGTTTGTGCATATTTCGCCTGCTCTTGCGAATTCCTTGCACTGTTAAAATGTTTAGTTAGTCGATGCATGCAGATGAGATGAAAAGCTGTAAGCCTCCTCTCTGAAAGCTGGCTGCCTTGGATCAAAACGTCTAGCGTGAGCTGGGCGCCAAGGTACTGATCCAGTGTGGTGGTTGGTAAAGCACTGCGTACTTTGTTCCAAGGTTCGTAGGTTCGAGTCTCCTCCTGCCAGAGATCAGTGTTTGTATATTTCGCCTGCTCTTACGAATTCCTAGCATATATGTGTATGTGTGTATGTGTGTACTCACCTAGCTAAGGTTGCAGGGGTTGAGTCCTGTGTGTGTATGTGTGTTTAGCATGGTGTTGCATAAAAATATTTATAAATAATGTTGTGTATTGTTAAATTCATATGTTTTTAAAGTATCTCAGTACTGTACTAATTTACTGGTGCGTGTGTGCGCACAAGTAGTTACAGAGTGTGTGTACACGAGCGGGACTTCACAGTGGGTCAGGAAATCACCGAGAACATCATCAACAGTGTGGAACTATCACGCAAGGTAACGAGTCAATTATATTTTTGTATTCCTCTCACTCGTTTTATCCTCTAACTGATCGATTCTTCAAAGGATTATTCTCTTTAAGTGTCTTTAATTTATTGCAATACTTTTTCTTCACTACATTTTCATAGTTATTTCATTTGTTAATAACGCTAATATTGGTGAGAGGGAGAGACGCGCAACACTATCATTTCCATTCGTTCCTTCCATCACATTCTATAATTACTCTATTAATTTGATGAGTACGACACATGTGTAGCACTTGGTATCATTCCCACTTGCAACTTGTTTTACTTTCATCTATTATTCCTTTAATTTGATGATTAAGACACTTACGCAGCCACAATCATCAACCTGGGCGATACTTTTTGTCTGCTCAGCAGGCTGATTCATCAGTCGAATATAGAGGTGGTTGCAATCTTACACAAAGTAGAAGTTAAGAGATACTGTATCTTGAGGTGATCAGTTCTTCAGTATACAATACAATTTTTAATTCTTTGCAAGTTTACATTATGGGAAGATTAAATAGCTTACAGACTACTTAAAACATGAGAAATTGAGCATGGTTTGTTTCAGTTCTATATTTTTTATTTAGAGCAGACAATAAGTTAACTCGAGTTAAAATCTGGGGATATTACATTGGGACAATTTGAAGGTATTTTATAGGTTGTGTATATCAATAGTTAATATTTAAGTTATATTACTGGAATATAATATTGAGCGTTGGTGAAAGTAGTTTACAGTATGAGAATGCTACAATATAGTGTAAGGCAGTATAGTTTTGTGCAGGTAATTGTACCACAATGTAGTAGCATTATGTATGAACTTTGGGTATTTAAATTTTGAAGGGTTAAGATTTAGGTAATTGGGAGATCTTAATTTAAGTATAGAGTACTGAATATTTAGTTTAGGGTGAGTAGATGCATTTTGAGAAAAGTCTTGAATTGATGTTCAGACCTGGTTACTTTAGTATTTACTGGTAATGAGTTCCAAATTTTGGGGCCAATTATGTGCATAGAGTTCTTACAAAGTGTGATGTGAACACGGGGTACATCAAAAAGTGACCTGTGTATTGTGTTATGGTAGTGCGTCCTGTTAAGGTTGGTGAGAAGTTTGAGTGAAGGGTTTATGTTTGAAGGGTTTATGTTTGAGTGTAGTGTTCTATGTAAGTATGGATGTTCTTTACGGTGAGTAGTTTTAGATTTTTAAATATTGGTGGAGTATGCTGTCTGGAGTGGGAATTTATCATTCTGACTGCAGCCTTTTGCTGGGTTATTAGGGGTCTTTGGTGATTTAATGTTGTTGGTCCCCATGCACAAAATACATAGGTGAGATAAGGGTAGATGAGTGAATGATACAGTGCAAGGAGAGCCGATTGTGGAACATAGTACCGTATCTTTGATTGTATGCCTACTGTCTTAGAGATTTTCTTGGAAATTTGTTGTATATGGGTCTGGAATTTAAGGCTACTGTCAAGGTGAATTCCTAGGATTTTTCCCTCTGTGCGTCTTGTGATGGGTGATCCGTTTAGCGCTATGTTAAGTGGAACATTTGTGGCTCTGTTTCCAAACTGAATGAAGTAGGTTTTGTCAGTATTGAGTGTAAGCTTAATAGTCATCATCCAGGTAGATATATTCTACAATTCAGCATTAACAGTGTTGGCCAATATGACTGGGTTTGGGTGAGAAAAGATGTATGTTGTGTAATCTGCAAATAATATGGGTTTGAGTAGTTGTGGCGCATTCGGTAGGTCACTGGTGTAAATGAGAAAGAGGAGAGGGCCAAGGACACTTCCTTGTGGGATCCCAACTGTAATTGGTTGTGTGGAAGACTTAGCTTCATTTGTTTACACATACTGGCTTCTGTTACTAAGGTATGATTTTAGGTAATTGAGGGAGTGCCCTCATATACCACAGTGTGTTAATTTAATGTGCAGCAAATCATGGTCAACTGTATTAAAAGCTTTGCGTAAATCAAAAAAAGATTCCCAGTGGGATTTCTTTCTTCTTGAGAGCGGTGTATATTAGCTCTAGCATGTGTACAATAGCATCATTTGTGCTTTTATTAGTCCTGAATCCAAACAGAGGGGTTGAGTATGTTTTGAGAGACGAAGTAGGAATAGATCTGCCTATGAATTAATTTTTCAAAGATTTTAGAGAGCAGAGGTAAGTTAGATATTGGTCTATAGTTATTCAAGTCTGATCTTCCTCTGTGAATCGGGGTGACCCTCGCTATTTTGAGAATTGATGGGAAGGTGGAGGATTCAGTGGATTTGTTGAAGAGTGTCGCAGTGATTTCTGACAGTACGCGAGCTTTTTTTGGCAATAAAAGGTGGTAAGTTATTTATATCTCCTGCCTTATTTTTAAGGGTGTTGATGATGAGCGAGACTTCTGTTGGGTTGGTTGGAGCTAGGAATAGTGTACTCAGGTAGGTAGTCAGATGGACGGGTGTTTGAGCTTGGGATTTTGCTCGCTAGATTCTTTCCTGTGGTGGAGAAGAAAACATTGAGTGCTGTTTCAGTTGGTGGTAGGAGGGGTTCGTCTGAATTTGTTAATTTGATTGTTTTGGTTTTGGATATCTTTTTATTTCCTATAATTTCAGATAAGGTTTTCCAGGGTTTTTTTTTCATATCGCCTTTTAAGTTATGTAATCTGTTCTCATAATGCAATATTTTGACCTTATCAGGCTGGTAAGGAATGACGAGTAACGTTTAGAATAATCTCTGGTTATTTGGCCCATTCTATACTGTTTTTCTTATAGGTGTTTAGTATTAATGGACTTAAGGATGCTTGGTGTTAGGTAACTTTAGAGTAGGTTGGTAAAGAGAAAGGTAGGGTAGTGGTCTGTGGTGTTGTCTGTGGTAATGCCTGATTTTAAAGGGGATATGGTGTTAGTCCTGATGTGGTCTAATAAGGAGACACTGGCCTCGGAGATTCTTGGGGGTTTTGTTGTTGTTGGCAGCAACAAGCAGTTACTCAGTGTTTGTGTATTCGGTTACTTGTGGGTCCTGGTCATGTTGGAGATTTATGTTGAAATCTCCTGAGAGTAGCAAGTGGTCTTTGTTCACGTTCGCATCAGTTATCATGATTCCTAATTTGTCACTAAAATGGTAAATGTTCGACTGTGGTACTCTGTAGATGTTTATGACTGTTAGGGGTTTTTGCAGGTCTTTTGATTTAAATTTAGCTATTATATATTCTCCATGTTCGTCCCTTTTGCAAGAATCATTGATAGATTGAATTTGATTTGAGTAATATAAAGTTGTTCCATTCCCTTGCTGGTCTGTCCTACAGTTGTGTATGGCTGTGTAACCAAGAATGGCATAGACATCTGTAGTACCAGGCTTTAGCCAGGTTTCGGTGAGTGTGATAATTGACATACTGGTATACAGGGAACTGAGTAATGCTGTGAGGTCATCGTAATGTTTGCTCAAAGATCTGACATTGTAATTAAAGATAGTTATGTTATTGATGGTTCTGAGTAATGTCTTTGCTTGATCTGCTGTATAATAATTACAGTTGCTGTTCGATCCGTGTAAGTCATTTAATAAAAGGTTGATATCGCGATCAATACTTGTAATCATATGACTGAGTGTGATTCTACAACTAGACTTTTGAACCAAGTATTATGTTTTTAAAGAAAAAAAAAAAATGGCACAATTTTATGATTTAATATTGAACTCTTGTATTAATACTGAACACAATAATATTGATCGGTGCCGGAAGTATCTGCAGGCGCGGTATATCTGGTAAAACAGGCGGGACATACACCTTTGACCATCCCCAAAAAAATGCTGCCTCACATGACAACAGGAAATTGCAACTTCCCCTCCTGAAACTTATTTCACCCAGAAATGTGTCACTCATAAATCCCTGAAAGAAAATGTTACAATGCATACTGCCAGGGACTAGAAGGCACAGACCAGCCAGACTATGGGAAACAAAAGAGGGGAGCCACAACCTCTCCAGGGACAGAGGGTTTTTAGGACCAGGAGGGAAAAAAGACTGGCAAGAAATGAGAATAATCCTACACCAACTGAAAACACTTCTGGAGCAGAAACACGGACATTGGCCACTACTGCAGAACAACAGATATTAGAACCAGCAATAAAACCCCCCTAAATTCCACCAATACAACATTTGTCTTTGCAAACATACAGGGTCTAAAACCGTCAAAAAGCAACAAAATTTCTTACGGAAGTCAAATGCAATGTTTGCAGCATTCACAGAGACCCACATAAAGGATCATTATAACAACGAAATATGGATCCCAGGTTATAACCTATTCCGATGCGACAGACTAAACAGGCAACAAGGGGGGGGGGGCTGTATGCCACAGAGTCGTTCATTTGCTCAAATGATGTAGTTGAAGTTTTGGCGGTAAAGATCGAAAATCAAAACCTTGTCATTGTGGTAGTATACAAGCCTCCAGATGCAACTTCCCAGCAATTCCAGGAGCAGCTCGAGAAAATTGACCACTGTCTGGAAAATCTCCCAACTCCTGCCCCAAACATCTTAATACTAGGAGATTTCAACCTGAGACACCTAAAATGGAGGAGTATAGCAAACAATGTTTTAGCAGAGATCACCCCGGGAGGCAGCTCAGATGAAAATTCACACACACACGAACTATTAAATCTCTGCACCAAATTCACCTTAAACCAGCAAACAAGATAGAAAATATGCTGGACCTCATCTTCACTAACAATGATGAATTGATATGTAATATAACTGTATCAAAACAATACACTCAGATCACAATATAATAGAAGTACAGACATGTATGCACAGGGCTCCGGACCAGCAAATTGTGAGCAGTCATGAAGGTCTCTTCACGAAATTCAATTTCAATAACAAAAACATACAATGTGATCAAACAAACCATGATCTAAATGAAACAACCTGGGAAGATATCCTAAACATGGATCAGAACATTTGACTTGAAAAAATTAATTCTGTGGTTGTTGAGATCTGCTTAAGAGACACTCCATTAAGAAAAA